TTCATTTGCTAGATCCATATATACAAGTATTTTTCCTATTTTATCGATAAATTGTCCCATATTTTATTTATTAATAGCTTTCAATAATCTAGTAACTGGCGCAAACAAGAACAGCGCATGCGCATCGAGTTGCCTAAAAATAACCAAAACTAAAGTTACTAGATTATTGAAAGCTATTAATAAAATTTGAGACAATTTATTGATAAAATAGAAAAAATACTTGTATATACGGATCTAGCAAATGACTAGCAAACGTTTTAGCACCGAAATATTTATAAAATTATGAGATAAAAGTTTCAAATGGCGGTTACACCCGTTACACTTGTCCACATTTTATTTTCGATTTTTTACCCAAAATAATTAATATGCAAACAAAATAAAAATAGATGCAAAAATTAGCAAACGACTAGCAATCGAATGACATATTCGAAATTATTGAAATCGTTAGTTCGACAGCTGGCTTCATACCGATTATATATCTCACTGCGTCGATTCGACATCACTTCTCACTGCAAGGCAAGTGAAGTCTCTTGGGAGCCTAAAGAATACTTTTAGAACAGAAATGGGACGGTAAAAGAAATCATTTTGTAAATCGGGGACCAAAAAAGAATTCTTTTCAAATTCTTTGCTATCTGGGATCTCATTGGTATCTCAACTCAACATAAAATTTTGTCAAGTAGATTTTTGTTCGCACACGCGTTTGGCAGGTCCGTCTGAACGAAGCTTAAACGTTACATCGATACGAATTTACAAGGAAAAACGAAATTTGTATTACTTATATATAGTTTAAAATAATTAATTCATTAACTCTACAATTAGTAGATGAATGAAGCAAATTTTCGACATCTCATCTTTTACGATACACTTCTCATATGGCTGTGTATAAAAATACGATAATACACGCCACGGGATTGCTGCGATTGGTGCCCTTACCACTTGATGCTTCTGCTATAACTGGCAGGACTTTGGACCTTATCGTCATTGCACTGATTAGGGAGCGCTATTTTTTTTTTACAGTTGAATATTTACTGGCGAGAGGAAAGGACACAAATTTCTCGCGAACAATGTTCTCCACCTGCGTCAGGACGTTGCGTGCTACTAGCAAGGTGAGCATATGTTCTCGAGTTTTGTGCCGGTTTTCATCTTTCATTTGTTTTCTGTTGCTAGCCATATGATTCATATACACCTTGCGTTCCGTGGACTGTGACCTTTAAAGATTCGTTTTGATCCCAGTACAAACTGCATTTCCGACTTATTTTTAGTCGGAGAAGCACAAGATAGGTCACTGTTTATAAATCGTTTAATTATGTCAGTTATCCAGATAGCCAGACCTGCCAAGAGCGTGTGTTGTAAACTGTATGTATTACATATGTATTATGTTAGTAGAACTCCAGCGGCAGTCGAGCACAGTTTACTGTTTTTTTTTTTAATAATCTAATATCAGTAGAAATGTAATAAAAGAGCAAACCCTGTATTATCACCTTAATTATAATTATGGCGACAAAGTGTGCTTCATTCCTGTACTGCATTTCTTTTACAATATTGGTGTTGTGTGTGACTGGAAAGGCATAATGAGTAGAAATCAAGCAACTAGAGAAAATACAGTGGATAAGAGCAAATCTATAGTCACGATCGAATTTGCTGGCAACTGCTGACATAGCAGTTGCCAGCATTTTACTCCAGATTTGCTGCTAGCACTTTGCTATCTGTGCTAGCTGTATCTCTAAACGTAGCTTTCGCGGATGTCTAATTGTAGAACTCATGTCGATTGAAAAGTCGTTCTTGAAGTTCTATCTAAACGCCTCACAAATGTCACTTATTTTCAGTTCGGCTCGCTGGCGCGTTACGAGTCCACTTTGGTCATCGCGGAGCATAACAACGAGAGTCTGCTGCCGCTCACCTGCAACACGTTGACAGCCGCCAAGAAAATCGGCGGCGACGTCACCGTACTGGTGGCTGGCACGAAATGCGAGGCGGTCGCACAGAACGCGTGCAAGGCCAAGGGCGTGTCGAAGGTCCTCCTCGCGGACAGCGACGCGTTCAAGGGTTTCACCGCAGAGTCGTTGACGCCGCTTGTCCTCAAGCTGTGCAACGAACACAAATTCACGCACATCTTGGCCGGCGCGAGCGCGTTTGGCAAGGCATTGCTTCCCAGAGTTAGTTTCATTAAATCTACTTTTCGAAGAAATTATACTGTGTGTGTTGATTTTAACATTAATTTACATGAATCTGTTTAATTGAAGGTTGCGGCTAAGTTGGATGTATCCCCGATAAGCGACATTATCGGCGTTAAAGCTTCGGACACCTTCGTACGCACTATATACGCTGGTAACGCCATTCAGACTCTCAAGTCTAAGGACAATGTGAAAGTGGTATCCGTAAGGGGTACCTCCTTCGAGTTGCTACCTCTGGAAGGTGGGGACGCCAAGTGCGAGAGTGTCCCTACTGGTGATTATACATCAAATCAAGTGGAGTACATTAAACAGGAGCTCAGCAAGTCCGACAGGCCAGAATTGACGTCTGCCAAAGTTGTGATTTCCGGCGGACGTGGAATGAAGTCCGGCGAGAACTTCCAATTGTTGTATACACTGGCAGACAAGCTCAACGCGGCGGTAGGAGCATCCCGCGCCGCGGTTGACGCCGGTTTTGTGCCGAACGACATGCAAGTAGGACAAACCGGGAAAATTGTTGCGCCTGTAAGTAAGAAAAGATTAATTGATACTTTATTTGAGTAATCCTCGACTCAGTCGTGTCTTTTGAGCGCCAATAACTTCATGATTGTGATTTCAGAATCTGTATATAGCGGTTGGAATTTCGGGGGCAATTCAGCATCTTGCTGGTATGAAGGATTCCAAGACAATTGTGGCTATTAACAAGGATCCAGAAGCTCCCATTTTTCAAGTAGCAGATTATGGATTAGTCGCAGACTTATTTAAAGCTGTACCCGAATTAACGGAAAAATTGTAAATTACGCTCAGATGATACAAACATTTGTATTTCAAATGATTATTTTTGTTACTATATATATTGTACTATAATACTGGAATAGATTAAAATTTTTATGACAGTTTTAACAAAAATCAATTTATTATTTGCCGCATTTTAAATGTAACAATCTTTAATGTAAAAAATTAATTTTTGCACATATTTAGAATGACTATAAATTCCGATTAATTTAATTGGCGTTTTATTCAATTGATGAAATTGCCTAAAGCAAAATTTCTAGCTGTACAATTCATTATTTCTGATTTTTTTCACAGAAGTTAAACAATGAAAAATTAATAATTCTATTCAAGTTTATAAAATAATATTATTTGATAAATTAATCACCATTAAAAGTTAATTGCAATTTAATCGAAGTCATTCAAGATTTGTTCTTGCAGATATTATAAATTGTATATGTTTCTTTTTATTTTCCCTTTCTCTTTAATGTCTATATTTACGTATACGTATAATTCAAATTATATATACATTAAATTAAATTTATATACAGTAATTATAAAATTAAATGTTAGTTCTCCTAATAACGCCTATTTCATTTTAAATATAGAAAATATAAGCTATAAAGAACACAGCGAGCGTTTATTTGTGTTCATTTCTCTATTATTGTGTTTGGTTGTATTTAGTGGTGTTGAGGTTAGTGTTGAACGTGGTTGAACGATGCATGGTGTCGGTTCATAATTCATATGTGCGTGCTGAAATCAATTTATTTTCACGAACTAAAGCAATTAATACGAAACTAACACAGGCTAGATACGTTCGCGAATTAAAAATTTCTTTCGTGCAAAAGTATTTTATCCACGGCAAGTACATGTCTTAATGTCTATGATTCAATTTAATAAATGAATATTATAGGTTATATCGTACAAGCACTTCTTTGCAGAAGAACGTCACTTCGCAAAATTCGAGTTATTTATTAATGCATATGAGTTTTATCAGAAATTTGTTACATTTTCATTGTATCAACTAAAATATATTGTAATAGTTTTATCGCCATTCGTTTATAATTTATGCTTTATAGAAATTAATAGAGGGCGAATTTTCATACTTGCAGAACATGCAGAGTATCCGTCAGTGTGTTAAGCATCTAGCGTCGTATGGCAGATCCGTTGTAAACAGGACGAATGTATTATCAAGCGCGACAAATCTTGCGCCAATATGTAACTTTCATACTTCTTCGATATGCGAAGCCAATTTGGGTAAATACGAAGCCCCGAAGGGGTTTCTGAAGTACAATGAGACTGTATTTCCACCTCAACAGCCAGGTGAAGAAAGAAGACCTGCTGTAAGTTACTTTGTGTATGTTTTATTAAATATTAGTTATAAAGTTATTTTGATCACACTTTGTTTATGCACTTGCTTTTCAGTATGTATGCCATATGAAAGCTAATATAAAGTACAGTCCGAAGAAGATGTGGTACATCGCGGGCTTTGTGCGAGGAATGTCCGTGGACGAGGCTGTAAAGCAATTGAGTTTTATGTACAAGAAGGGCGCTGAGATTGCGAAGGAAGTTATATTGGAAGCTCAGCGCTTGGCCGTGGAGGAGCACAACGTTGAATTTAAAAGTAATCTGTGGGTCGGTGAGTATTTTTTTGTTGTCTGATATATCAATATCTGAGACTGTTTTGCATATCTGCATTTTCCAAGTCTTCCAATTCGATTCGAACATTGAGAATTAACATTGAGAAAATACTGTTTTTTTTTCCCAGCGGAATCGTTCAGTACGAAAGGTATTGTTATAAAGGGAATACGGCGACATGCCAGGGCAAGGGCGGGACTCGTGCACTACAGGTATTGCCATTATTTCGTACGCTTGGAAGAAGGACCGCCACCTAAGCATTATTACCTGCCGTATCCCAAGACCGGCGAGGAATTGTTGAACGACTGGTTGCAAAAGATGCATATGCGTAAAGTACCGAATTCTCTGTAATATTATACGAATGTAATTGTAATACTGTAAATATATACCGAATGAAAGCCACAATACAAATTATATATCTCAAAGATACATCCTATCTTTTAGCATTTATCTCACTCTCACAGTAACTCATCAGAGATATGAAGCTCTTTAAAGTTGTAACATTTGTTTTATTTTAAATCGTACATTAGTACGATGATATTGTAAGATGTGTATTGTATAGGTACAGATATTGTATGTAGTCATGTAGGAATAGAAGAAAATGAGAAATTCAATTCCTTACATAGAAGCGATATCTTTATTATTTATCATCTGCAATCATCTGTATTTATCAAGTATAGAGTTACGTGATCTACAACTTTAGTTTAGTTCTCCTCCAGTGACGCCTCTTTGCATTGTACCTGAAAGCAAATACATGAAAAATTATAGCTTTAACTTTAAAATCTCTAACATTCATAGTTATCACAGTAATGTAATATGGATATTTTAGATGCAATGTATCGTATCTAAAATATTACAATTGCTGCAATATTGCTACGTTTGCAGTTTCACAGACACTTATCAAAAGCAATTAGCAAGAATTGAAATATTTCTATTTCTTTAATATTATAAAATAGTCTCATATGCTACATCCAAAATAAAAAAGTAATGATAATTTATCTTCATGAAACAATATAAAAATCATAAGGTAACATTAAACAAAAGAAACATCTGAGATTCTTATTAAATCTTATTCACAACTGATGTTTTATTTTTTCGCTCCTAATTGTGATTATAAACTATTTGTACTTATTGATAAATACATGCTTAGTATATAATTTGTATCACAGTGTAAAGAATAGAAGGTGAAACATTCCAGTGGATGCTCAGTTGTTCAAAAATAGTAGGAAGCAGTGAACTAATCAGTTTTCCCTAATATGCAAATTGAATATTGTCGAGACTATAAGTCTAATATATCTATGTAATATGTATGTTTTAATTATCAAATACATTTACATAAAATATGCGCGTGGGAAACAAATAATGGGTCGAAATTTCAAGCCACGCCATTATTCGCTATATTTCACCAAATATTCTCACACCACGATTTATATTACATGTAATAGCCATATTTATATACACACTGCCAATACTGAAAATCTACAGTTCACATGTACTACAGATTTTCAGTATATCGGCAGTACATCAAAATACAGTTACTACAGAGTTTCAGAAGTAAATAAATACATTTACTGATGGAAATATAAATAGGGACCTACAGATAAGATTAATAAATTTGTTTTAATACACAGCAAAGTTTGCGCAATTATATGCAATTATATGAAAACAATGTTCCTATCTCAATACATGGAATTAAAATGATATATGAATCTTCAGTATATATCTGCAGTACATCAAAACACAGCTACTATAGTTTCAGAAGTAAATAAATACATTGATGGAAATATAAATAGGAACCGACAGGTAAGATTAATAATTAAATTTGTTTTGATAACACATGCTACAGCAACGTTTGCGCAATTATATGCAATTATATAAAAACAATGTTCGTATGTCAGTACATGGAATTAAAACATGATATTCATCTCAGATATTACGCTATGTAAGAACTTAAAATATATTCGTTAGGTGTTGTGCTCGAACTTACCGGATAGTATTGCCGGTCCGCATTCTCACCCATTGGGGAATCGGTCTGTTTTGCTTCAACTTTTTCGCAAGCTTTCGCTTGATAATGAACGTCTTGTGGGCCGACTGAAACACATACAAAACAAAATCAGAGTCTGCGGATATGATTTTTAAGCGTTTTCACGCGCAAGAGGATGGGATCGCAAGGAAGTAAATGGATATGCAAAGAACATGCGTAAAAACTCACCATCGCGCCTATTCACGCTTCTCTAGCAACACGCGAAGTGAAAGATCAACATGGACGAACACGCGACGCCGATAAAATATTTTCTAGAAGGGCGATCGTTGGATCGCAATGGTTTTTCTTCTGCGAGTAGAGTGAAAGCTGCAAGCGAATCCGCCAATCACAATCGAGAATTCTCGAGAGGACAAGACTGTCGTTTTGAAACTGTAAGGCTGTGTTCCCACTGAACGCGTCACGCGTCGCGTCGTCCGTCGCGTCACGATTAATTGACTAAAATATTCCATTTTGTTGCATGATTTGCCGCGCAACTTCTTGCAAGACGCATCAATTAGATTATTCGACATTCTAGAGATAAAAGAATTTTTCTTGGTATGAAACCTCGGATGCACGGCAAGTTACGCAATAAAATGGAATGTTTTGATTGGTCAATTCGGATGACGCGACGCGTGACGCGCTCAGTGGGAACGCAGCCTAAGGGCGAATTCACACCTTGACAGAAAGGCGGAAAACAGAAAAGCAGAACTCACGCTGGTAGCAAAAAAAGCAGAAAGTAGAAACTGTCGGCTACCATAGAGTCCTAGATTATCAGAGAAGCGCGACCGGCTTATGGCAGTATCGCAAAAGTACTAGAAAATATTAAAAATGGCGTCGAATGGCCAATCATAAGTTTGATTTATTCGACAGCCATTTATAATAGCGATAAATCAATCTTATGATTGGCCATTTGCGTGTCCAATCAGGACTCGAACACCGGTCGCGAGACACTGATAATCTAGGACTCTACCATTGAGTAGCAGGTAAAATTACGGTGATTTCGCTCACGCGATTGGCTATAAATGGCTTCCAGCGAGATATGCCTTTACGCAGTCAGTACAGCACGACCATGGAATCCGACCACGCGTGTATACCATGAATCTTTACATGAATTGCCTGTTTTACATTATCAATTAATTTAGTTAACAAATGTGCTACATAGCTCTAATCTTGATATGGACTGTTTCTTTAAAGGAACTACCCTTGCTTTTGAACATAATCTGACTGTTATATGGCCGTCGTTCACTGATATTGTTAATTGATTCAGAACAACCCCGGTGTCCTTGTAAAGACGTATTCTTGACTCAATTTTTCAAGATTCTTCAAGATTCAATTCTTCAAGATGCTTTTTCCTTTACAAAAATTTTGTCCGAAGCTTAGTTTTCAAATTATAACGAGAAATAGAT